GTCAGTTTGTACAGGACCTCCAGGGATTCTTTCAGTAGAAAATATTTAAAGTTTGCCAGGAGTGGAGGCTCATGCCTGATAATAGTGTTTCTGTAAGCAGAGGTGGTACTTTAGGGTCACAAGATGAAGGGGGTGTGCTTGAAGGCTTTGCTCACCTGTGGGAGGGAGGTGTTAGTGCCACCCTGAAGGTCAGGCGTTCTCTGTGCCCCAACCGGGATTTGCTCCATGAACTTCATCTCTGCAGCTTGTGTCATCTTCTTGGTTGCAGGGTTTATGGTCTCCATTAGGACTTAGTAGTGTTACAAACTCTGTGGTTCGCACACAAGCCTACAGTTTTCACATGGAATCTGACAGTTCTAGGGATCTTTTGACGTTAAGACCGGGTGCATCCTGGAATTTTGCACCCCAATAGTTGACAAAGAAAGATAAAGCAAAAATAAAGGTAGTGGATCAAAAAAGGGACTTTGTAGACGACACACAAACAGGCTCAGTTTAAAACGAGTGCAAGGGTTATTCTTACAAGCATGCCATAGGGGGAAAATGTGGACGTGGTCCGATAAAGGGACAAGGGGGTCTTGGTGGTGGTGTTACTTGCTTGTTAGAAAGAGATGGGGAAGTTGTCCGGGGAGGATGGGTAGAGATTTTATAGGGCTTTGGTAAAGTTCTTGGGTAAAACCAAAGGAAGGCAGATGAGACAGGTTAAGAAGAGGGAAGAAAGAGGGACCTGTTTGGGTTAAAACAGCAGTTGTGCCAGGAGGGGGGATAGTGAGGATTTTGCCAGCTGATGGGCTTGCCAGATGTAAAAGATGCAATACCTGTCCTCGTTGTGTGGTGGGGATTTGGTGGGCTGGAGTGGTGGGTACCTCTTCAGCGGCAAATGGGATAGATGGGAGAATGGAGGGAGAATCAGGGGCTTGTTGGCTCACAGCTCTTTAACAGCTGCACTAACTCTTAAGAGGTTTGAAACTTTGCTTTTGAAGGGCCTAAATTGTTGGGGCATAATCAGTGCAGGGCGTTCCTTCAGTTCTGTGGGAACAAAGACAATAAAACACATTTACCCACAATACTTCACTTAACTTCCACAATACTGGCCCTGTGGCTGACTTTTGAGGCATGAATCAGTAGGACCACCTGTGTAGAACTTAAACGTGTTCTGGGAGAGCTTGAATAGGAGAAGCTTCCAGTGGATTGTACCCTACAAGGCATAGAACCGCAAAACAAAAGTTGGTGATGAAATGATCCTAACAATCTGCACATAAACAACCTTTCAGTGTTGGAATACTGAGAAAAGGGCCTCACTTTCATAGAACACAATTTCGGAGCAGGAGCAGCTGGCAATTAATAAGCTGTTGGGCCTGCCCTCTTATTATCTTCATGTTCACCGTTTTTGTCATTTGTGGCTGAATTCCACCCCCAGACCAATTATTATTACAATTTCAGGAACTCGGTTTGCTTGTGTCCTTCTTGGAATATGGCTCTGTTTTTTGTTTGTGTTTACAATGGTTCTTTCTCTGAAGAAATCCAAGGGTTGAAGTAGAGGTTCTTTCCCTTTTTACTTATCCTTCTGTGTTGGCACCACAAGCTAGAATTATGTTAGCGACACCCCCTTCAACTTAACGGTGCCTCATCAGAAGTAGGCATCAGCATGCCTTGTGGGTAGGAAGAAGAGTTAGTCAAAAGTCTGCACCAAGAGCTAGCATCTGGTGGGGACCTGGGCTGGATGGAAGGGATTTCTCTTTCTTCACCAAATGCCAGCTCTATCTCATCATGGTGGTTGGAAACACTACAACTGCTAGATGCAGTTCTAGGCTAGTTCATCAGCATTTAAAGCTGCAGTTTTGGATTCTGGTTCACATGCTAACTTTAGAGGTGGTTTGGGGGCTGGTTATTTTGAACCAGAGCAGATTACATTGCATACAGATCCACGTAGCCCTGTGCAGATAGAATGAGAAGTACCTGTTTTGCCCCTTTCCCAACCACTTCTGCTGTAAACGGCACTTGCGTAAGGCTCCCCCTCAAAGTGAGTAGATAGATACTCCATAGCACAGCCTTTGCACATACTTTTTCATTCCCAAATCCACATCTGACAGGACACGGCTATGTGTACATTGAACGTTACCTTGGGATCTGATACAGTTAATGCATATATTTATTTACCCTGTTCTTCAGCTGACAAGAGGTTCCCAAAGTTGCTTACCGGTACAAGAGTCCCTGCCCTCAGGCTTACTGACTAAAAGTTGTGACACAAAAACTTGCATCGGTTCCTCTACACAAATCCATGGTTTGAATGCACTGTTCACAGTTCTGGTTGCCACATCTCAGAAAAGTTTCTGTAAATCTGGGAAATGTGCATAAAAGAGTGACCAAAATGATCGAGAGGCAGAAGAAACTCCCTCAGGAAAGCTTACAACAATTGTGGGTTTTCAGTTTAGAAGAAAAATAAACTGGGAACAACAGGATGGAGGTGTATCTCAGGGCAGGCATGTCCAACCAGTAGGTCATGATGTACCGGTAGATCTCCGGCTGATCCTGGTAGATTGCGGGACCCTTATCGATCATGGGATTAAATAAAGTGTACCGAAAGTTAACAAATAAAAGCTGAATAACTCTGAGCTCAAGAACTCTGGGCAATCCTCCGCAAAAAAAGCTCAGCAACTCTGGGCAGTCCACCCACCCCACACATGCTCCTCCTCCCTCCAATGACAACGTGTAGATCACTGCCAGTTTTTTTATGCATACTGGGAATAAATCACAGTCTCTTGGGAGTTGGACATGCCTGTCATAGGGGAATGGGATTAGGGTGAGGAGGAGCCTCATATAATACCTGAGAGCATCCAGTTAAACTGAAAGATTTGCTCTTTTTTTACACAGGGCAGAGTTAATGAAATTTTCTGCCATTTGCAACAAAACACAATTGCAATAGCAGAACCAAAATGCTTCTGAATGCCAGTTGCACAGCTGTTGTTGCCTTTGTCTCCTCCTTGTGAGATGCCCATTAGGACATTTGGTTGCCTGCTGTGAGAAGAGGATGCTAGGCTAGAGGGGGCCCCTTGAGCCTGATCTACCAAGGCCACCCTTTAGTTTAAATATATATATAACTTACTTAGTGTTTGGGTGTGCTTTTTTATAGAGGCTAATCCTTGGTGTTCCTATAGATGGGCACTACAGGACATCACGTGAAAGAGCTAAACTAACCTTTTTGATAAACCTCTCCTTCAGGATGACTTGTGACATGTTTTGTGGCTCTCACCTCTGTGTCCTCTTTGTGATATTGGGCACAATTGCAATTTGGAACCTTGGGCAAAAGACATCTTGCTTCTGTGATCAAGCCAGACATTTCTGAGTGAAGAACTGGCTGTGTTGCTTATCAAATCAGCAGGGTAGAAATCCTTAACAATTCCAAGTAACACCTCACTATGACTTACTTTGAGCTGCTGTGAGAGAAGCTGGTTGTAATTTTGGGGTCAGATTAAAGGCAGAAAAGGAACTGCCGCTCTTGGGACCCCTCTTTTCCAGCTTTGATAAAGAATAGTATTTTTGTTTTTGCACCCTGCCCTTCAGAGAGCAGCCTGAGCTTCTGCTCAACAACCCAGTTGCCAGTTTTGCATTCAGAGTGTTCAGGTTCAAAAGCCACTTTCTCTGGTTTTTACTCTTGGAAATAAGCAATCTTTTTTCCGGACTTTGGTTGCTATAGGAATATGGGAATCTTCCGTTAACATTCCCTTAATTGGCTCAGCCAATGCTATTTTTGTCCTGCACTTCCACCCCTTTTCACTCCATGGAACTGAGGAGCTATTCAAAGGGAAAGCTGAAGTTGGAGATCTTTAGCCTTGTGGGCTAGTGGTTTGTCTGGAAGCTCTCCCCAAGAGCAAAAGGAAAGAGCCATTTGTTTTCTGAAATTACATAGGAAAGCTGGCTGCTAGAACATTTTATCTATTGTGAGTAGGATTAGGGCTCAAGCAAGCACCTGTTTTACCTCATTTGTACTGACCTAACTCAATTCTCAGTGGTTCCAAAACAAGCAAAAACAAAATTTCAAGCACAGAGAAATAATGTCAATAAAATTTACTCAGAACTTGCCTCAAGGGTGTTCTTAGGCCTGATTGCTTTTGTTAGGCAGGCCTCACATTAGGACGTCTTCCAAGAAATGTGCTACCACTCAAAAGGTTCTACTCCTGTCTGCTGGGACACGTGTATCACACTTGAATGAATGAGCATTAAGAGCATCACACTTGGGACCTGGGAGGCCAGGGTTCAAATCCCCATTGGGCCACAACGCTCACTGGGCGAGACCTTGGGCCAGGCACTTGAACAAAGCTACCACATCTCAGCAAGAGAGGTGCGCACTTCAGATCTTCTCTAGACCACGGCAACTTGGTGGTTCTGTAACCTCAGCACTTAGAAATCTGCAGGAAAGGTCAAGGACTGCCCCCTTAATGTATAAGGATGCACACTTCGGTTTTTCCTCTTAACCTGCATTCCCAGTTTCTGCTGCTCAGCCAGGAGGGGACAGCTCTCCGCTTTCCAAAAGTCCCATTTCCCACAAGTCTTGTCCAAAGTCTTGCTTCTCACCCCTGCTTGAGAGACTCCATCAGATACTTTCAAGCTCTTTTCCAGGCTACAAAAGCTTAGTGTGTGAAAGAAAAGTGGGGAGGGGCAGGAGAGAAAAGCTGAGGATTTCCTAATTGATGAATTATATGTTTTCTCTGGGGGTCCCATTCAACACTCTTTCCAGGTAAGACCAAGAGCCTTTGGGTAAAATGAGTCACACGCCGGGGCACTCCTGCCTACACACATTGCAGGGGATTGGACTAGATGCCCCTTTGGGGTCTCTTCCAACTCTACAATTCCGTGATTCTTTAAAAAGCAGCTGAGCAGAGAATAAAAGCTCCAGCATCATCTTTAATAAAACACAAGTTGATAGAACACAAGTCTGGTACTACATGATACAGCGAGGGAGGCAGATTCCCCGGGGGGCTTCCTCTCTCCCACCCACTCACCCAGGCACAAGACAGGCCTGTGCAAAAAATAGTGCCAGGAGTATCTGTGTTCTCTTTAATGCAAGTCCCTGCCACCAATTCCCGTTGAGCGTTCCTGCCACCCGAGACCTGCTCAGATGGACCCTCCCTGTAAATGTGTCCCAGTTCCCCTTAAATCCTTTTTGTTTCCATGCTAGTGCGAGTGTCCCTTTGCTTAAACCGATGGTGTGAAGGGATTAGCAATTGACTGGGTGGGCAGCCATGCATTTGTGGCTGCATTTGTGCAGAGAAATGCAGTGCTTTGAGGGAGAGTGCAAATCAAGTGTGCATCAAGGAGATGTGCAAATCTCATTCCGAATTGGACATTGGACATTAAGACAAGAATTTTCTTTTAGCAGCCAGTGCTTAACAGATAAAATACACAATAAATAAATAAATAAATACAAACAAACACACACACACACACACACACACACAAAATAAACTAAGTTAAAAACTTGGGCAGGCATCTCTGTGGGAAGGGCTGGGTCTGCATGAGATCCACTGGCCCACAACCCACCTGCTGCCACTGCCCTGGGCTAGAGCCAGTATTGCTTGCTGTGGATGGGAGGCAGCTGCCGGTGGAGCTGGTCTTCTCTCTTGTAGGTGGGGTCATAATAGTCCCACTCAAACAGCCGACCCAACAGGGGTGTTCCTGGACTTGCTTCGCAATCTGACAAGATCCTCACAGAGACACCTGCAAAAGACAGGCGGGAGCCACTCAGATACTAGCCAAACATGCCAGCAGCCCTGCTAATTTAGCTACCATCATGGCTGCTTTGTTCCCCAATTGTCGTGGGTCCTTACGTAGCCAAAACAGGCCGATTCCTACACAGGAGAAAGGCATCCGCAGGCTTTTGCGGGGGGGGGGAACGGACTCCCAAGGTTTGCAGGACAAAAAACCCCAGAAAAACTCTCAGGGTGCTTCCCCCCCCCCCATGCCAATGAGGACTTAGCAATGAGGGGGAACAATGTCGACTGGGATGGATTGTCCTTGAAAAAAACCTAACAGATCCCGCTTCCAGTTTCACACTGAATGCCAAAGAGAAGAGTGCCTGTCTTTGCTGCTTCGGAGGGGGGAGAATGCTGGAGAGAGAAAATGACATCATGCTGCCAAATCACAGCTTTGCTCAAATTCCTGGATTTTCCAATTGCTTTATGTGGGCAATTCTCGCTTTGATTCTGGGAGAGGAAGAAAAGGGGCCTAAACTTAGACTCTCCAGGAACTGGAAGCTGGCCATATTCCATGAATCAGTCCGTGTTATGGTTGAGTGCTTTTGAGCCATTGAATGTTGGAGGTGGAAACAATGGAGGGGGTGGGGGCCCCTATCTCCCTAGCCTGAACTCTCTCCACCCAGAAATATTTAATGGGTTGAGTGCTGGTACCTAGCCCCAATTCTGCTTTAAGAGCAGCAGGGCAAGTTTTCTGAAAATGCCCAGTATGCATCCACTTGATGGAAAGGAGAGCAGCAAGAGATTATCTGTGTGCTTCATGAGCCCAACATTATTCGACAGGAACCAAGTCTTCCAATATGCTGGAAGGCAACACCAGCAGAGGCCCACGGGGCTGGCTTGAAGCATTTTATCCTGCCATTACACACCGGCAAGGACCGTTTGTGCCTACTGATCTCGAAATAAAAAATGGTGCCTGGAAGACGGCTAGGAAGAATAAGAGGGTTGAACAGGACATGGGAGGGAGGGACGTGGGAGCTGAATCAACTGGGAATGCCAAAGGTGGAAAAGAAGCTATTGGAAACTGGGCATCAGTCAGCTGCTCAAGGAAGTGATGGCACCAGCGCTGCAAGGCTTAACATCCTGCCCAGCACCTGTGGGATGTAATATCACTGTAGCAGTCAAGTACAGCATTTCCTGTTTGCCCAGAGTGGACACACGGGGATGTTACTCCAGCCAGGAGGACTTCCTGTCACACCTGTCTGGAGCATCCTCCCCCTGCGTGTGACCAGGTAGATGAGCGTGACCCTGGGAGACCCCATAAAAGGGCCGGTCATGCAGCCATCATTCTCTTGTTGCTCTTGATGCCATTTCTTCTCTTGATCCTGTTCTCTTGATGTTCTTTTGCTGTCTGCTGGCTCTCAGCCAGCAGCACATGGGCTTAATCCCCATATGGGATAAACTCACACTCTCTTCTGTAATCACAAGCTAAAGCCTGCCTTCAGGATCATACTGTGAACTGAATGTAAGTAAACTTCTTATCCTTGCTTTTCAAGAAGACTCTTCTGTCCTTGTTGTTTTAAGAGGGAATAAAGGGGAATTTACCAGGAACAATCCAATCTGGACAAGTCAGACTGAATTGCTTAACTCAAGAGATTCAAACGAATCTACCAGCTAGCTTCCTGCTATGTACAAGGGAATGTGCTCTGCTACTAACTAGCGTGCGTGAGGAAGGATAATATTTAATAAATATATCCTCTCCTACTATCCAGAACATTCCCACGGCAGCAGGGTCACCCCAAGCTCAGTCCATTGAACCCAGACTAGGATGCCTCTGAATATCAGCTGCTGGGACCACAGGAGAGGAGAGGGCTCTTGTGTTTGGGTTCAACTCATGGGGTTTCTCTGGCCTGATCCAGCAACTCATCTTATGTACTTATTTCTTGCCCTGTCTTTGTTGGAAGGGGGAACAACCCGTCCCTTCAATGGGCAAAATTCACCCTATTTCCTGCAGCTGGTTCTCCTGGGACAAAAGCTTTATCCTCCCCTCAAATTCCTTTCCTGCTCACCACCAGCCACCTTCTTTCACCCAAGGTCCCTGAGGCTGAACACAACAGAATCTAACCCCCACTGGGCAATCTCTATGAAAAGCAGCCCCCACTCCCAGGCCTGAGGTGTCGGCACTCACTCACCAGCACTGGCACCAAAGTCCGAGTCCAGGCCTGGTCCTTGAGAGGCTGTGAAGTTTGCAGAGTTGAGCTGCGCCCTCTGGTCCTCGCATCGGATGCTGCTGCCGTGCTCAAAAGGCACCGCTTGTGGGTGGGTGGCAGACACTGGCCTGCTACTGCGGCAAACCTTGTTCTGGGTGCTGGTGTGGCAGCGGCTGAATGTGCCATCTGGGATACCCTGAAAACCAAACAGAGCGATTCCAAATAAAGAGCTCAGCTCACTGATAGGGAATCTGCCTTGCATGCAGAAAGACCCTCGTCTGAAACCCTGGAGAGCAGCTGCCGTCCATGTAGACTGTACTGAGCTAGATAAACAGTCTTCTCTTTACAATGGAACCCACGGAGGTCCAAGGATTCAGGGAATCCTATATATGCATAAAAAATTATTGTATTTGAATGTAAACAATACTTGGTAAAGGTAAAGGGGCCCCTGACCATTAGGTCCAGTCGTAACCGAATCTGGGGTTGCGGCGCTCATCTCTCTTTACTGGCCAAGGGAGCCGACGTTTGTTTGCAGTTTTTCCGGGTCATGTGGCCAGCATGACTAAGCTGCTTCTGGCGAAACCAGAGCAGCGCACGGAAACGCCGTTTACCTTCCCGCTGGAGCGGTACCTATTTATCTACTTGCACTTTGAGTGCTTTTGAACTGCTAGGTGGGCAGGAGCAGGGACTGAGCAACGGGAGCTCACCCTGTCGCGGGGATTCGAACCGCCAACCTTCTGATCAGTTTAGACCACAGCGCCACCCCCATCCAAAATACTTGTAAAACAATACTTGTGAAACTTAATAAAAAAGAAAAAACTCTCCGAGCAGTTTACAAAAGATAAAATGGTCAAGACTCAGCATAAAACGCCTTCCTCGGGGAGAGAGGAAGAACAGCAGCCCCCAAGCAATGTTTGCTACTCGCCCCCCCCCATTAGCTCAACCGCTTACTTACCCCAGTCCCTGAGCCACTCTCGGGCGTGTTGGGGGGCACCAAGATGGTTTGCTTGTCCTGGTCACTGGAGGAGGAAACGGTTCCCCGGGACGCCCCATTCCCCGGGTGGCCCCTCAGCGGAGCTTGGCTGCTGCGATGGGGCCTGGGCGTCCCCCTAGACCGAGACCCCGACGATGCAGCCGCCCTCCCGCTGCAGGACAAGGGAAGCGGGAAGGCACGGGCCCCCCCGGGACCCTCAGCTGGCTGCAGGAGCTGCTGCAGGACCACCCTGCCGTTGCCCTCCTGCCTCAGCACAGCGCTGCCCGAGACCACCTGGAAGAGCCGGGGGGAAGCCGGGGGGGCCTGGCCCAGCTCCCGCCTCCCCACCCTTCGGCAGGTGGGTCTCCAGCCCAGCAGGAGCAGGAGGTTCAGGAGGAAGAGGAGAAGAAGGCAGGGGATGAGCAAGCCCACCAGCAGGCGGAGGGTGGGCTGCAAGGCGCGCGCCTGCTCCTCCACACCCGCCGGGGGATCCATTCTCTGACCCGTTAAATGTGGGCAGGGGTTTCTGGCTGCGCGAGGGAGGGAAAGGCCGAGGATGGGGCTTAAGCGCGCGCAGCTGGGCCAAGCCTGCTCCGGCTTACAACCAGAATGGGATTCAGGTGCTGAGGGAGGCTGGGAAAGGGACGCGCCGCTTCTGCAAAAGGGATCTCAGCTGCCTTTGGGGTTGCAGCTGAGGACGCCCGGAAGGGAGACCGCAAAAAAGTCGGGCCCTTTGGTATTGTGGGCCCGATCCTGCGCATGTTTACTCAAAGGTAAAAAGCCCGTTGAATTCAATTGGCCACATTCCAAAGGAACTTGGCGCACGGCTGCAGCCTGCGACCCTCACCCAAGTTGCATACTTGGGCGCTTCATCCTATCCGCACCGGCCTGGGGGAACCGAAGAGCCTGGCCTGAGATCCCCAATGATGATGATGATGATAATTTATAATTTATACCCCCCGCCATCTGGCTGGGTTTCCCCAGTCACCCTGGGTGGCTTCCAGCACAATGACTGAACTGCCTCTGACAGTGGAGGGGTAAATAGCCATCCTGGCTAGCAGCCACCGGTAGCCTTATCCACTTCCATGAATTCGTCTATTCTTCTTTTAAAGTCAGCCGAGTCTTGTGGGAGGGAGTTCCGCAGTTTAGCGCTGCACTGCATGAAGGACTTTCTTTTCTCCGTCCTGACTCTTCCAACACTCGACTTCCCCGGATGTCCACGAACTTCTAGTGTTATAGGAACTTTTCTGCGCCTGCTCTCTCCATGCAACGCCTAATCCTGAACGCTTCTGTCATGCCGCCGTTTCCTCGCTTTTTCTCTAAGCTAAATCTTCATCTCTTGATTGCTGGGGGTGAAGCTGCTGCTGAAAGCACAGTGTTTTTCTCTGGTCTGTTGGCCACTAAACACGCTGGGTGTGTGAATCTACACTGCTGCAAACTTCCCTTATAGCGTAAGACTCTATGCACGCTCACTTGGAAGCAAGTTCCGCCCAAGTTCGCAAGGTTCAAGAGCCCAGTCCAGGGGCCAGATGGCTGCTTCCCCTTGCTACCGCTGTGTGCAATGGTGGTGTGGGGCAGAAGAGACCAGGGACCATGCACCTTTAAGAGTGAAGACTGGGGAGGGTCCCCAAGGCGGCCTCTCCATCCCCACTCCCTTGTGCGCAAAGGGGCCGCGTTCCTGGGCAGCGATTCTCCAGCTACGCGGCAGGGGGCGCTCTCCCATCGCTCAGAGGCTGGCAGGGCTCCCGGATGGTCCCGATGGGACACGTGCACTTTCCTCTCTGGGTGTCTCGGCTTTCCTGACCTGACTTGCATGTGCTCTCCAAACCCTTTGCTTGGAATACCCTCTTATTAACACCCGTCCCATCTTTCCCCCAGCCCGACCCATTTCCTTCTCCAACACCACATCCCTCCACCGTTAAGGATGCTTGTGCCAGAACTTTGACATGTTCCTAAGCCGAATGCGCGGCTGAGCTGTCCTTTGGGGCGGGGCAGTGCTCTTCCCCTCCCCCTTTCCATTGAGTCCTGATCCAGACTTCTGGTGGGGCCTCAGATTTGTTTATTTATTGCATTTCAACCCCACCTTTTCCTGCAAGGAGCTCAAGGTGGCCCAAAGAGTTCTCTCCTTCTTCATTCAGTCCTCACTACAGCCCAGTGCGGAAGGTTAGGCTGAGAGGCAGGGACCAGCCACCAAGGCTACCCCGTGGCTAAGTGACGAACTGAACCCTGGTCCTTCAGGTCCGAGTCAGGCACTCTAACCCCTGCACCACGCTGCCTCTTGTTGGGTTGTGCTTGGGACTGTGAGCCTGTGGCCAGGGCTGGTGCCTGCTGCTCCCGATGGATTAATCCAGAGCGAAAGGGTGCGAGCTTGCGATGTATAGGCTGAGAGACCTGAGTTTCCTTCCTTTGGCTGCGGTTCCTGCATTGGAGCGGGTTGGGCTAGATAACCCCTGAGGTCCCTTCCTACAATTCTATGGTCCTATGAAGAGCGTGTGCCCTCTCTGTGGCTCATCCCATCCACGCCTGGCCAGGCCCAAGAAGTGGCTGGCGTTCTCCTTTCCTTGAGGGTCTCTCTCTTTCCCCAGCCGTTTGTGGCCTGGCCGGGCCTTTGGTTTGCTTGGCACCCTCTCCCTGATGGCAGCAGCACGTGGGCACGTGGCCCTGATCGGCCCCCAGAGCGGTGCCATCTGGGACGTCGGCAAAGATGCCGGCAGGGCGGCAGAAGCACCGTCTGCTGTTTCGGCGCAGAGACTGGCTGTGCCGCCAGGAGTCAGCTGACGCAGTTTCCATGTTCCCAGAACAGCCTGGGCAGGCAGCAGCAGGAAGTGGCAGAACTGCCAGAACCCAGCGGGGGACAAGGAGTCTGGCTTCTCTCAGGGGGACCAAAACACTGGGGAGTCACTGGCAGCCCTGGCTTCCTAAGCACCATTGAGCAGGGGGCCCAGGAGCCGTGGAAGTGAATGGCCATCAGTTCTTCTTCATGCAACACATGGCTAAACTAGGGAACTCTCCCGCAGGAGGCAAGAATGGCCAACAATTCTAGATGGCTTTAAAAGAGGATTGGGCAGGGAGGAGAGGCCTTTTCTGGCATCTTTAGCCAGCGTGCCCAGAGTAGTCACAGCAATTTACAGCTGAAAACGCTGGCAGCATTAAGATAAATTCAACAGTGTAAACAAGTTTTGACGGATGTAATAATGGAATACTGAATGGTATAGTTTTTATAAAATATGCAGGGATTCATGATATGTAAAATGAACCATGGAAAGAGAAGAAGGGAAGTCATTGATATCGTAAGGATGTAAAATGAGTATTTTAAATGGTAAAACAGAAAACGTAATAAAAATTATATACAAAAACAACAACAACAACAAAAAAACCCAGTCAATGGCAGTCAATGGCCTGTCAGGTTTGTAGGCTGGGAGAAACTCTTCTGCCCAACTGAGAAGTTGCAAATGTTGCCATCTCTTCACACTTGGATGGAATGAGGTGGGTGATTATTATTATTATTAATTACGTACTGCAACATAAAAATGAAATATAAAAAAATACAAAATACATAATGAAAAGAAGAACAGCAACAAACCAATAATTCCCCCCTCCCCAGAGGCATACCCAGAATTTATTTGGGGGGGCAGGCTTTATGTTGGGGGGGGCAGAGCTGAGTTATCTGGGACACAATCGGTCAGTTAAATATGTTTATTTATTTACCTGATTTAGGGGGTGCAGCTGCAACCCCCCCCCGGCTATGCCCCTGCCCCTCCAGCAACACATTGTAAGGAGCATCTGATGTGAATCAGCCCAAGGCCTGGATGAAGAGGAACGTTTTCACCTGGTGCCTAAAGGTGTATAAGGCGGGTGGCAGGTGAGTCTCCCTGGGGAGAGCATCCCACAAGTGGGGCGCTTGAGGCGTGGGGCACCTTGAGTCCTTCTCCTCTGTCCCTGAAGCAGCCCGAGCCATTTTGCTGCCCAAGCCAAAGGACAAGATGGTGCCCCCCCCAACTTCTGTGCACGAAATCTGACTGGACTGGGAGCTGAATCTAGGCTAGCAGACCCCATGGCTGACATTCCTAGGCAATTTCTGCCTTCCAAGGCAGCAACCTAACACCCCAGAGGACAGGATCACACTTCAAAACGACCTTGACAGATTAGAGAACTGGGCCAAAACAAACAAGATGAACTTTAACAGGGAGAAATGTAAAGTATTGCACTTGGGCAAAAAAAATGAGAGGCACAAATACAAGATGGGGGACACCTGGCTTGAGAGCAGTACATGTGAAAAGGATCTAGGAGTCTTGGTTGACCACAAACTTGACATGAGCCAACAGTGTGACGCGGCAGCTAAAAAAGCCAATGCAATTCTGGGCTGCATCAATAGGAGTATAGCATCTAGATCAAGGGAAGTAATAGTGCCACTGTATTCTGCTCTGGTCAGACCTCACCTGGAGTACTGTGTCCAGTTCTGGGCACCACAGTTCAAGAAGGACACTGACAAACTGGAACGTGTCCAGAGGAGGGCAACCAAAATGGTCAAAGGCCTGGAAACGATGCCTTATGAGGAACGGCTAAGGGAGCTGGGCATGTTTAGCCTGGAGAAGAGGAGGTTAAGGGGTGATATGATAGCCATGTTCAAATATATAAAAGGATGTCACATAGAGGAGGGAGAAAGGTTGTTTTCTGCTGCTCCAGAGAAGCGGACACGGAGCAATGGATCCAAACTACAAGAAAGAAGATTCCACCTAAACATTAGGAAGAACTTCCTGACAGTAAGAGCTGTTCGACAGTGGAATTTGCTGCCAAGGAGTGTGGTGGAGTCTCCTTCTTTGAAGGTCTTTAAGCAGAGGCTTGACAGCCATATGTCAGGAGTGCTCTGATGGTGTTTCCTGCTTGGCAGGGGGTTGGACTCGATGGCCCTTGTGGTCTCTTCCAACTCTAGGATTCTATGATTCTAACCTCCCTCTGCCTCGTGGAAAGCGCCATTCCTGCTCCGCACCCTCACGGTGGCCTTGCCATGGGCAAAGCAGGGGGCAGGGCTCCTTTCCCAAACCTGCTTCTGCCCCCTCTGAGCCCCAACTGAACGTGAAGAGGCCTCCTTCTCCTCTCCCTGCCCCTCCCCAAGCTGCCTTTGGGGTCAGGAGGAAAGAGGGAGCCTCCTCTGAATCCAGTTCCTGTGTTGTGGGAGGCAGGGGAGGGCAGAGGATGCCCACCTCACCCCTTCCCCACATCCCTAGAACTTCTTCCAGGAAGGAGGGGGGCGGCACTGGTGATGCCTGTCCGTCATTCGAGACTCCCCATTTTCTCTGCAGGACAGCAAAAGGGAACGCTCCTCAGGGTGTCCTCAGTGCCGAAGCTAAGCCTTGGCTCAAGTGATCAAGACCTCTGGGCATGCACAGAGTGCCTTTCTTTTTGGTTATATCTAGGTTAAGGGCAGGGACATGGGTGGCGCCTTGGGTTAAACCACTGAGCCTAGGATTTGCCGATCAGAAGGTCGGCGGTTC